GTGACCCAGGAGGGAAAGTCAGTGTATTGGAAGTGTCTGCAGAGCTGATCAACCCTCAGGATCCTCTACTCTCCCTAAACACTTGGCTCCAAATCCTGGGCTTTGTGTCACCTCTTCCCTATTTTACATGTTTGACCACCAGAGTTCTTTTTCCTCACGTACAACCTATCATTTGCCTCAAAATAAGCCCCACAAACAGGGAGCTCTGCAGATGCACTGACACAAAGAACACAAGGGACTGTCAAATCATCACTGTGTAGGAAAATGACAAATTTATTGAGATCTAAATATTCATTCTGAGGCTACAGCAGAAGAAATGCTGTTACACACAGGTAAGCACTAGGGTCTGGCACTTCCCACTGCTCCTGAACAGCTCTGCCCTCGTAGCTTTGCATAAACAGTTCATGTGCTTGAAGTAATTAACGGAGACTTCAGATGTCATTTTACCACAAATCCCACCAAAAAATAGAACAAACACATCACCTGTCGCCACTGCGAGGTGTAGAAACCATTTCACAACAGAACTGTGGGAAATGGGTTTACAAACCAGACTTGTTAAACAGTAAGGTCAAACTTCAGCAGCATTAAAAAAATTTCCAAGTCTGACTAAAACGGTGACCTGAAATCCTGAAATGCAACAATCAAGAGCTCCAAGACCTGCACTGCATGTGAGGGATGGGAATCTGTGGCATGTTTGGAGTGGTGGGTCTGGGACAGTGAGACAGACCCTCGGGCCTGCTTTCCTTCCCTCTGTAGCCAAACCCCAAGCTGAATGGTGGAAAAGGAGCCAGCACACTGCCAGGCTCGGGCTGAGCCAGTTCCCCTGGGAGTCATTGCTCTGTCCTTCCTCACCACCCAAAAATGAGCCTAAATCGCTGCTTTGGCGGTTTAACCTAGCAAGGCAATTCTGAGGAGCTCAGGAGTCAGTTCTGAGCGATGCCAGTGATGGGCAGAGCTAGGCACTGTGCACCACCTGGTCCAATCCTGTCCCTGGCAGAGCTGATCTCCACTCAGTGCTGGCTGAGCCCCTTATGCCAGCACAGCCCAGTACCATGCTGGCTCCTGACTCCAACCCTCCTGCTGGATAATTCTGGATCAGTGACAGGGACAGTTACAGACTCACACCTGCACACCCACCTGTTAAATGGGCTCTGAACCTGCTCAGCATCCTGCACGTGGCTACAGCCTCACAGTACCTCAAAAGCTCTCCCAGGGTAGGATCTGCCCCATCCTGACAGCCCCCCCAGGGTAGCAGAGCAGTTGCTGACACCTCCTTCCCTTCCCCACCAAAGAGCTGTTGGTTTTCCATCCTACAAGCTGCCACCACCACACTCACCTGTATCACTGAGCTGTGATAACAAACCACTGCCCAGGTGTGAGATCACTGCTGTCCAGCAATACCTGTGCCACCTCCCCTGCCAGGGAGGGCCATCCCTGCTGCTGCCCCACCAGGGCATGAGAGGGGCCCTCAGGTGCCAGATTTCTGTCCCACAGCCACTCACACTGCTTGTGAGACTCCCCACATCACCTCTGCCCAAGGAGGTTGTTCCACAGCCCACAGGCCAACGCTGAAGCTGCACATAGTGACAGCAGTGCTGCTCTCTTGAAAGGGTCCTGGGCTGGCTGAGAGCTGGGGCAAAGAAAAGAGGGAAGGGCATTCCTTAGGAAGAACTGATCACCAGGAAATGAGCTTTGACACAACCAGTTGTGTCCTCCTCTGGCAGAGCTGTCAAGGCACTACTGCCCGGGATGTGAAGCTCTTCTGCACCATGTGGAAGTTAAAATCTTCTCTGACTCCCGACAGTGGCTGAGGAGATCCACATCTGGTGTTTCCAAAGCAGAGAACATCCCAGCAGTGCAGTGTCCAGGGGTACCAGTGGACATGTAACATCTGCACAGCAGTGAGTTCCTGAGAAAACACTCAGAGGTAGAGGTAACTCCAGTGTGAAAGGAGCTGTAGAAAATCAGATTCTGGGGTGCAATTGAAACCCTTCGTGTGTTCTTAGCAGCACCAAATGTGGGCTCTCTGCTTCTTCCTCACTCTTGCAGCTGTAGATCTCACCAGCTGTGAGTGCAGCTCTGCGGGGATCTGGTTTCATTTGGTTAAACAAACACCATCAGATCATAGAGTAATTGTGCACAAGGTCTTGTGATTATTTAGGCCTTGCCCAACATCAATCACAGTTGCTCAAGCTGCTCCTGAGACCCCTGAAAATCCAAGGCACATCTTCAAACACGTAACAGAAGAAATCCCAATGGTGTGTGAGCTGAGGGGACAGCAGTGTGTGCAGCCAGTGCTAGGAAAATGGGAATAATCAGACTTTGTGCAGGACAAAGAGATTTTCCACCTTCTAGGAAAAAAGATCTTAAACCTGAGTGAGTCTGGTTTGTTCCCAAAGAGCTGCAGCTCCACCATCCAGCACTGGGATATATGCAAGTGAGAACAGAGCTCCGACCTCCCACCACAGGGAATGGGAGAAATGGAGCTTCCTCTGCCTAACCTCACCCAAAGCAGGGGGAATTCCCTGGAGATCTGGGCTGCTCCTCCAATTGGGTAACATGACTGGATTGAAATATGGTGGAGGGTAAAGTTGAAGAAGAAAAACGTGGTGTGGAAGGATGAGACTCTGACGTGGTTCTCCATCCTCAGAAAACTGTGCTGATCGCACCAACAGAACCTGCTGGGGTGTGTGGGCTGTGCCCTTCCCCCTTCCTGGGATTCCTGCACCAGGAAAACGAAGTTAATAGTAATCTTTTTTCTTCTAGGTTTAGGAGCAACAGTTTGTTGTTGCTTGCAGAGACACAGCGTGGAACAGAAAGCCAGGGGCAGCACCTGCAGCTCCTCTTCCAAGGCCTCAGTGCTCCTGCTCAACCTCCACCACGTCCCCTCCAAGGGACAGGGAAGGAAAATAAAAAACTAGAAAGTGTGTTAGCAAATGCTCCCATGCAAAAGTCTAAACTTTATTCACTTTTATTTATATATTTAACAATTCTAAAGTATTTACTTCTCGCTTTTGACAAAAATGAAAAATATAGGAGCACTTTACTCTCTTGTGGAGAGAAGGGTTATTTATGTACACAGCTACGGAGAGAGAACTGCTTCCTCCTTTACATACAAAGAAAAATAATATTAATAAAAAAAGTGCTTCATCGATCCAAAAAAAGCCTAAAGAGCTGCAAGCTTTATTCACACTGTACAGCCCACCCCGCGCCCGCCCCTCCTCGCTCGGCCCTGGAGCTGTAGACTCTCAGCCTTCTCTATTTGCACCACAAGCTCACACGACATCAGTGTGCAACACCTGCCCCACAGCCACCCCTGGCTGGAGCCAGAGCTTCCCCTCGTCCTGCTCCAGCGACGGCTCTGCCTCTGCCCCAGCATCCACTGCTGGGGTAGGAACCAATCCTCCACACACCTCGCCAGGAGAACCCCTCAGCTTTGCTTTGCCCTCCTTGTCCATTTTCTAAACCTGTGCCAGGGAGATCCCAAGATGCTTCGTCCATTCCCAGACTCCCTTCCCTAAGGACGCAGCCTCCTCCTTCCTGGACATTCAGTTTTGTCTGGCGACTCCTTGGCCTGTGCCTCGCAGAGGGTGTGGGGAGGTCACAGACCACCTCAGCCTTTCCCCCTCGGACCCACTGAGCTGCGAGATGGTTTCTCCGTGCGATCCTCCCTTTGCATGTTGTGATTGTGACATTCCAGGGAAGGCAAGTGCTCCTTTCCCAAGGTTTCTTAGATTTTGAACTGTTGTATCCAGAACTCTCAAATACTCCAGCAGGATTCTTGGGAGTATCACAGAGCAGTTGGGACTTTGCCTAGAGAATACATTGTGAGCAGGATCTATACTTCCTCCTTGCCAGACTGCACTAAGCAGGATCTATGGGAAGGGAAGGGGATGAGCACCAACTGCTCAAACAGGTATTGGGAGATTCACACTTCAATGAGGTGACCTGGATTGGGACAGAAGGAAGAAGGGGAAGTCATGATGTATTTTGGATTGTTATAAGAACCTCAGGCAGGTTTTCTCCTATCTGGAGTTCACTGAACACAGCCTGGAAAAAGAGGAACATCCAGGAGGATGCCAAGCACTGGTGACTCCTCCTGGACTGTGTCACCCCTCCATCGGTTTGGATAGTCTCAGTAAAGTGCAGGTCTGACCCCAGCCCAGGGTGTGTGCCTGACCACGGCCAGAGGGGCTTCCCATGAGGGAACCTCCACGGATGGGCAAGGTGCAGGTCTGCTCCTGTCCCACTCGGATTTGGATCATGGATTGCACGGACAGACCTCCAGAGAGGCCTGGCAGAACGCCTGGCTCAGCAGTCCATCAGTCCCACCTCACCTCTCACCACCAGCACGTGCATTCCCGAGCAGCAGTCCCAGCATTCCCACTCTGACGGCTCCAACCCCACGGATTGTGTGTGCAGGGTCAGAGCTGCCAGTGCAGGAATGTGACCAACCCCCTCAGGCAGCCAAGCCCATGGTGAGAGCAGAGAGGGAGAGGGCTCTCCTGAGAAGGAGATTCCCACCTCTTCTAGCAGCAACAGGTTCCCAAACAGCAGTTTCCGGTTTGGAATAACAGGAGTGATTGAAAGCACTAGAGGCTACAGCTATCCAGGCTCTGCACACTGGCTGGCCTGGCTCCCTCTGCTCCCTCCTCCCCAAAATCCTCCGTCTGCAGCAGTTGTGCAGCAGGACAGGCACATCCCGTGGGATCCTGGCCCTGGCACCAGCTCCCTTCCCGCCTCCACCATCCTCCCGCACAGACAGACATATATATATTATTATATATACACACACACGCGCGGAGACACATACACACGGATAGGACAGGAAGGAAAGGGGGAAGGGCTGGGAAAGGAGAATCCCATGATCCAGCGGTACATCCTCGCGGTCTGTCCTGCCGAGCAGTGTCCCTCGCCTGACCTCCAGGGCTCCTGCAGCCTCCCAGCCTGTCCCTGGGGCAGGGTCGCTCGGCCGCTCCCACCGCTCCCAGGCTGGGACTTCAGTTGGACGTGGCAGTGATGGGTTTGTCCAGTTCGAGGTCCAGGCTGGAGCTGCTGGGATGCAGGCTGCTGTAGCAGGACTTGCAGACCCTGCTGGGCTCAAAGAGCTGCTGGCTGGGCACGGGCACCTTCTGGTTACAGCAACTGGAGCAGAACACATTGCCGCAATTCCTTGCATCAGGAATGGAGGAGAAATAGAAAAGAAAAGGTTAGGAGCAGTTGGAGCTCTAGAGTTACACATTCCCAGCGCTGTGATGGGGTTGGCTCTGGAGACACTGGAAGCTCCCTACAGACCAGGATGAAGGCAGGGACAGCTCCAACATCTGCACCTGTGCAGCTCCTTTCTGCAGTCAGAGCAGAGATCCAGGGTAGGAGCATAGGAGGAGCAAGGAGTCAAGGACAGTGTGGAATTGCAGCTCTACAGCGACAGCTTCTCTGTTCAGCACTGCCTCGTGTCAGGCTGGAGGGGCTGTGTCCCTCCATCAAACAGAGTGAGTTCTCTCCCATGTCATCATGGAATGGTTTGGGTTGGAAGGAACCTTAAAGCTCATCTCGTTCCACCCCCTGCCATGGGCAGGGACACCTTCCCCTAGCCCAGGTTGATCCAAGCCCTGTCCAAGCTGGCCTGAACACTTCCAGTCTGGCTGTCCTGCAGAGGAGCTCAGGCAGACACTGCCACCCTGGGAGAGAGAGGTTAAACCAGAGCCACCATGGGTCCGTCCTGCATGAGGATGTGAGGAATGTGGTGCTCTGGTCCTGCTCACAGCACTGATCCATCCCTGTGCCACAGCAGGATGGACGTGGCAGTGTGGGGAGGAGGTAGGACTCTGACCCCGGGTCCGCTCAGGGCCGGCATGGAGATGTTGTCCTTTCTTCCACGATAGTAAAGTTTAAGCATGGGACAGATGGAAACATTACATCCCACTGGTGTGGATGCACTCCTCCCACTGCCCCCAGCACACTCCAGCAGTGCCACACTCCTGCAGCAGCAGAGCTGAGCTGGGAGGAACATGCAAAGTCACGGGCAGAGGGTGTTCCATGCATGGCAGGTGAGCATCACACGGGTCCTGGCAGGGCCCCACGGCACATGCACCTCCCAGAGAACACCTACAGCTCAGAGTCATCACCTTCTCCTGCAGCTCCCTCAAAACCTGCCAGATGCTGTGCCCTGTCCTCCAGAGCCATCAGCTCCTACAAGTAGCCTGCAGAAGCACTGCCTGGTCCTGGGTTTTGCAGTTTACCTCCATGCTCAACACCCTTTCCATTAACTCTTTGGCATCAGGAGTTGGTGCTGTTGGTGTTCTTTCTGCACTAGAGGTTTGCTGCTGCCAAGAGACTGACAGGGAATTCTGCTGACACCCAGCAGCTCTGATTCATCCTTCCTTGCCAGGAGAGGAGATTTCCAGCTGCTGCTCACTGATGGGGAGAGAGGCAGCAGAGAAATCCCATTTCCCACCTCAGTGGCTCATTTCCACAGTTCCACGCTGTAGCTCCAGCCCCGGAGCTGGAACCCCAGCACAGAGAAGCTGACAAGGAACAGCCTCTCTGCACAGGCTCTGCAGTCTTGAGGACCCTGTTAGACATCCCTGTCAGAACCACCTGTAGGAGTGGGAACAGCCCTGTGAGGTGTCACACAGGAACACCCTGCGGAGCAGCAGATCCAACAGCCTCATCTCACCGCTCCAGGAACGATTATCCGTCAGCCCTCGCTGCTGATGGATGAGGCAAAAAAGAACCAGAGGGATTAAAACAAGTCTCTGTTTGTTGGAGCTCACCAGCTTCCTAACATATGCTTGGGGTTTTTGTTGTTTATCCTAGATAATGGTGCTCTGTAACTGCTCTCCCCTGAGCTTTGGAGAGCTCTGGACAGCTCATCCTTCTATCCTGGTGATCTCCTGCTTTGCTGCAGAGATTGAAGAGATGTTAAAAACAGGCTGGAAAAGGGATCTTGCTCATTTGAGGAAGGAGGACTGAAAATCACCCTCCCCACGCCTCCTCCTCGTCCCAAACCACAGATGTTCATCCCGTTTTGGGGGATGACAACCCTCAACCTGCTCTGCAGTACCTGTTCCTGCCACGGCAATTTCAGCCCTTCTAAAATAAGTGCCAGGTTTGTGCCAACACCCTGCACAGGAATATCAGAGTTGTCTGATAACACATGAACATCTCCTAAAAATATGTCAAGAAAGGGAAAGGATCAAAAATAAATGCCTAGAACATGCATGAGAGTCTCCTCTCAGAGAGAAGTGCAGCATTCCCTGTCACTCACACACACCACGGACTAGTGACTGTTAGTGTGAGCCACATCCCATTTAAGCTCCCAAAAGCCAAGTCCTCGATGCCTTTCTGTGAGGAGAGGCCTGTTCACACCAATCCAAACACCCAACAGCTCGTGCTGCCACCCCCAGCTCAGTTCTGGTGAATTCTATGCAAGTGAGAAACAGAGGGGGAACAGCCCAAGTTAGTCGGGAGAAGTCACCCAGGAGAGGCAGACAGACAACGGACAGAGGCTGCTGGAAATGCTCACCAGAGCTGATCAACTCGGTCAGTGTCCCTGCAAGGAGGGAGAGAGAGCTCAGGGGGACAGCAAAGGGAGCAAACAGTAGCAATGCAGGAAGTTGGATGGTTTTATCCTGCTCAAGGCCTTACACTGTGTGGTTCAATTCATTTCCACTCCCAAGGAAGGGGTTGTACGTATTTACTATGGAGATACTCAGTGCTGTTGGTGTCTACCACACACAGCCAGAGCTGTGGGGACAGCCTGGTCACTGGGCATCTGAAAGCTGAAGAAACAAAGACACTACAGGGAGATTTGCAGCCACTCAAAACTCTTGAGTCCATTTTAACTCCTGGTGGTGTTGGGATGACCTGTGTGTGTCCAGGCACAGGGAACTGAGCCCCAGGCAGCCTGGGGAAACAAAACTGCACAAACACAGTGCACATGATAGAAAAAAATAATTCAGATTCTATTCCTTCTTGCCTGGGTTTGATTAGCTTTACAAGGTGACTAAAATGGAGCAAAATGTAAACTAGACAAAAACCAAAAACGATGTTCATGATTCTTTACAACTTCAAAAAGCAGCAGAAGCATTTTGAAGAAACGAGGTAACTGCCATTTATTTAACTGATGATTCCTGTAATAGCTTTTGCATGTCCAGGAACCAGGAACATATTTGAAACGGAGCTTAGAAACTGGGGATTCTCTGGCTTTAAGCACAAGCACTCTGCCTCCTGTTCTTCCTCAAGTCCTTGCTGCTGCCTGAGCTGCTGCAGCCTCTGTGGCAAAGAATAATCCAGAGACCTTTGATCTCACATAGGTTCTTTTCCGATTCTGCAGGAGCAAGGCAATG